ACCCTCCCTCTTCCCCACCTACCTCTTCCCCACCACCCTCCTCCCCACTACCTCTTCCCCCTACCCCTCCTCCCCACCACTCTCTTCCCCCACTCCCTCTTCCCCTACCCTTTCCCCCTACCCTCTTCCCCACCACCCTCCTCTGCCACCCTCCTCCCCCACCACCTCCTCCCTACCTCCTCCCCCACCACTCTCCTCCCCACCACCTCCTCCCACCACCTCCTCCCCCCACCACCCCTCTTCCCTACCTCTTCACACCTCCTCCCCACCACCCTCCTCCCCCACCACTCTCCCCTACCTCTTCCCCACCCTCCCTCCCCCACTCTCCTCCCCACCACCCTCCTCCCCCTCCTCTCCCCCTCTTCCCCTCCTCCCACCTCCTCCCCTACCTCCTCCCCACCACCCTCCTCCCCCACCCTCCCCTCCCCACCCTCCTCCCCTACCCTCCTCCCCCTCTTCCCCCTACCTCTCACCCTCCCTCCCCACTCTCCTCCCCACCACCTCCTCCCCCTCCCTCTCCCTCTTCCCACCACCCCTCCTCCCTCTCTCTCCTCCCACCACCTCCTCCCCACCACCCTCTTCCCCTCCCCTCTTCCCCCACCACTCTCCTCCACTACCCCTCTTCCCCTCCACCTCTTCCCCACTACCCCTCTTCCCCACCACCCTCCTCCCACCACCCTCCTCCCCCACCACCTCCTCCCCCCCTCTCCCCCTACCCTCCTCCCACCACTCTCCTCCCCACTACCTCTTCCCCACCCTCTCCTCTCCTCCCCCCTCTTACCCCTCCTCCCCTACCCTCTTCCCCACCCCTCCTCCCCACCACCCCCTCCTCCCCACCACCCCTCCTCCCCACACCCTCTTCCCTCTTCCCCTCTCTCCTCCCCACTCTCCTCCCCACCACCCTCCCTCCCCCACCCCTCTCCCCTACCCTCCCTCCCCCACCACTCTCCTCCCCTCTTCCCCACCTCTTCCCACCCTCTTCCCCCTACCCTCTTCCCCCACTACCCTCTTCCCACCTCCTCCCCACCACTCCTCACCACCCTCCTCCCACCACCCCTCCTCCTGCCTCTTCCCCACCCTCTCCTCCCACCTCTCCTCACCCCCTCCTCCCCACCACCTCCTCCTCCCTCTTCCCCCACCCCCTCCTCCCCACCCTCCTCCCACCACCCCTCCTCCCCACCCCTCTTCCCCACCACCCCTCCTCCCCACCACCTCCTCCCCCACTACCCTCTTCCCCTACCCTCCTCCCCACTACCCTCTTCCCCACCCTCCTCCCCACCACCCTCCTCCCCACCACCCTCTCCCACCACCCTCTTCCCACCACCTCCTCCTCCCACCACCCTCCTCCCCACCACCCTCCCTCCCCCACCCCTCTTCCCACCTCCTCCCTCCCACCTCCTCCCCCACCCCTCCTCCCCACCCCTCTTCCCCTACCCTCCTTCCCTACCCTCCTCCCACCACCCTCCTCCCCACCACCCTCTTCCCCACTCCTCCTCCCCACCACCTCCTCCCCCTACCCTCTTCCTCTTCCCCACCCCCCTCCCTCCCCCACCACCTCCTCCCCACCACCCTCCTCCCCTCACCCTCTTCCCCCACCCTCCTCCCCACCACCTCCTCCCCCACTACCCCTCCTCCCCACTACCCTCCTCCCCTACCCCTCTCTTCCCCCACTACCCTCCTCTCCCACCCACCCTCCTCCTCCCACCACCTCCTCCCCCACCCCCCTCCTCCCCTGCCTCTTCCCACCCCTCCTCCCTCCCCTACCCCTCTTCCCACTCCCCTCTTCCCCCTACCCTCTTCCCCTACCTCTTCCCACCACCCCTCCTCCCACCACCCTCTCCCCCACCACCCTCCTCCCCACCACCCTCCCCCACCACCTCCTCCCCACCTCCTCCCCTACCCCTCCTCCCCCACCTCCTCCCCTCCTCACCCCACCACCTCCTCCCCACCCTCCTCCCCCCCTTCCCCCACCACCCCTCCTCCCCACCCCTCCTCCCACTCCCTCTTCCCCACTCCTCCTCCCCACTCTCCCTCCCCACCACCCTCCTCCCCACCCTCCCTCCCCACTCCCACTCCCCTTCCTCCCACCACTCTCCTCCCCACCTCCTCCCCACCACCCTCCTCCCCTCCTCCTCCCCACCACCCTCTTCCCACCACCCTCCTCCTCCCCCACCACCCTCCTCCCTACCCCTCTTCCCCACTACCCCTCCTCCCCACCACTCTCCTCCCCACCACCCCTCTTCCCCACCACCCTCCTCCCCACCACCCTCTTCCCCCTCTTCCCACCCCTCCTCCCCCTACCCCTCTTCCCCCACTACCCCTCCTCCCCCACCACTCTCCTCCCCTACCCCTCTTCCCCACCCCCACCCCTCTTCCCCCTCACCCTCCCCTCTTCCCCCACCCTCTTCCCCACCTCCTCCCCCACCACTCTCCTCCCCACCTCCTCCCACCCACCCTCCTCCCCACCTCTCCTCCCACCCACCTCCTCCTCCCCACCCCTCCTCCCCACCCTCTACCCTCCCCCTCCTCCTCCCACCACCCCTCCCCTCCCCACCACCCCTCTTCCCCACATCCTCCCCTCCCTCTCCTCCCCACCACCCTCCTCCCCCCTCTCCCCACACCCTCTTCCCACCCCTCCTCCCCTCCTCCTCCCCCACCACCTCCTCCCACCACCTCTTCCCACCACCTCCTCCCCACTCCCCTCCTCCCCCCACTCCCTCTTCCCCACCTCCTCCCCCACCCTCCTCCCCCCACCCTCCCACCACCCTCCTCCCCACCCCTCTTCCCCACCACCCTCCTCCCCACCACCCTCCTCCCCCACCACCCTCTTCCCCCACCCACCCTCCTCCCCACTACCTCCCACCACCTCCTCCCACCACCCTCCTCCCCCACTCCTCCTCCCCACCTCCTCCCACTACCCCTCTTCCCACCTCCCCTCCTCCTCCCCACCACCCTCCTCCCCCTACCCCTCCTCCCCACTCCTACCCTCCTCCCACCACCTCCTCCCCCACTCCCTCCTTCCCTCTCCTCCTCTTCACCCTCCTCCCCACCCTCCTCCCCACCACCCTCCTCCCACTCCACTCTTCCCCACCCTCCTCCCCTCCCTCCTCCCCCCCACCACCCTCCTCCCACCACCCCTCCTCCCCCACCACCCCTCCTCCCCCACTACCCTCCTCCCACCACCCCTCCTCCCCACCACCCCTCCTCCCCCACCCTCCTCCCCCACCACCTCCTCCCCATCCCCTCCTCCCCACCACCTCCTCCCCTACCACCTCCTCCCCCACCACCCTCCCTCCCCCCCACCCCTCTTCCCCACCACCCTCCTCCTCCCCACCCTCCTCCCACCACCCCCTCCCCACCACCCCTCTTCCCCCACCACCTCCCCTCCTCCCCCACCACCCCTCCTCCCCCCCCACCTCCTCCCCACACCCTCTTCCCACCACCCTCCTCCCCTACCCTCCTCCCCCTACCCTCTTCCCCACCCTCCTCCCCCATCTACCCCCTCCCTCCCCATTACCTCCTCCCCACCCCTCCTCCCACCACCTCCCTACCACCTCCTCCCCACCACCTCCTCCTCCCACCCCTCCTCCCCCACCTCCTCCCACCACCCCTCTTCCCACCCACCCTCCTCCTCCCCACCACCCTCCTCCCCACCACCCTCTCCCCACCCTCCTCCCACCACCCTCCCACATACATACAAATTACAACGTCTCAAGAAACCAGCTCCCACACACAAATACACAAAATATTATTTACACAAATTGAGGTAACATGCCTAAAAAATATTTCACTATACCCCAACACAACACTTTGCATTGACATCTACGCATATTGCATAACAAGAGTGTTGGTAGAAATTGGCGAGAGTGTTGATAATATTAACATGGCAGTTGGCAGAAATGTTGGCAGGTGTGAAATGTTAAGGACTACAGGCAACTATTGGTAAAATGTTAAAATCTTAAAATAGAAATTGTCCAATTGAAATTGTTGCAAAAATATTTAAAATATTTAGAAATATTGTTGTGTTAACGAAATATTGTGGTTTGAAAAATAACAAATGTGGTGGCAAAAATGTTAATAGTGTTGTTAAGTGTAATGAAATGTTAGAAATATTGGCAAAATGTTATAGATGATGTAGTGTGTTCAGAAATGTTGATAGAGTGTTTGTAGTGTTGATGAAATGTTGATAAAGATTGTTGGTAGTCATTGTTAGTAGTATTGATACAAGAAACATTAAAAATAATGTTATTAGTAATAAATGTTAGCAAAAATGTTTAAAATATTTGTACATGTAGTTAAAAATGTGGTATATTGTAAAAATATTGTAAAATATTGTAATATTAGTAAAATATTGTGTAAATGTAAAAATATTACCAAATATTGTGTAAAATGTTATTATGTGTATGTTAGCAAAAATATTGATGTATGTAGTAAAATGTTAGTATTGTGTAGAAATGTAGTATGTTAGTAAAATGTTGATAAAGTGTTAGTAGCTATTGAAAGTGTTGGCCAAACCAAGATGATAGAAATATTATACTGGTAAAATGTTAGCAAAAGTATTGGTAAAAATAATGGTAAGCAAAATATTGGCCAAGTTGTAATATTAGTTAAAAATGTTTATCTATTTCCATAAATAGGCACAACCCTATTAGCCCTCACAAACAGTCCCATTTACACCCCAACCTATTGCCATCCTGTCCATCCAACCTGTATTTGAACATTCAGCACTATTCAGAGTATGTGTGTTGTGTGTTCCCACTCATCCCACTACTCTGTTCCACTCCAGTGTTTACCTATTTCACGCCAGAGGCTTAACATTCACTGAGCAGAAAGTCTCCTGGGCAAGAGACAGTCTCCCCTGAACAGAGAAACTGTCTCCCTGAGCAGAGAAACAGCCTCTCCCTGAGAGTTAGAAAACAGTCTCCCTAGGCAGAAACAATCTCCTAAGCAGTGATCTCTGGTCTCCTAAAGCATCTGGCTCTCCTGACATAGAAACAGTCTCACTTGGAAAAACAGTCTCCTGGTGAACAATCTCCCCTGACAGGCAATCTCACTATGAGAACTCTCCTGGAGAGTCTCTGAGCAGGAGGCTGGTCTCCTGGGCAGGGCGTCTTGGGCGAGAGAAACAGTCTCTGGGCAGAAACAATCTCTGGGTGAGAAAAACATCCTAGGCAGCCAACCCAGGCATTCTCACCAGACTCTCCTAGAAAAAAATCTCCTGGAAGCCCTAAAAACAATCTAAACAGAAAAGTCTCCCTACTTCTTGGTCTCTTGGCAGTCTCCTGGTTGAAGGCTGTCTCCCTGGTAGAAACAGTCTCCTGGGTAGAGAACAGTCTCTGGTGGGGAAACAGTCTCCTGGGCAGGAGAACGTCTCTGGGTGGGAAACAACCCCTCAAGAATATATATATATTATTTTACACAAGTTCTTTAAGCCCCAACAAAATTTTTTTGCTGGTTTTCTGTTAGCAGAGTCTTTGAAGAAACACAGATGCACTGATAACACAGAATAACGAGAACCAATGCAAGAATAACACAGAATAACACAGAACAATGCAGAATAACACGAGCTAACACGGAGATAGCACAGAACAATGCAGAATAACACGAGAATGCACGAATTATGCAAGAATAACACGGAGATAACAGAACAATGCAGAATAACAGAATAACACTCCAGACAACAGGTTACACAGAATAATGCAGAATAACAGAGATAGGGAATAACAGGAGATAACATGGAATAACAGAGAATAACACCAGAATAACACAGAGATAACACAAAATAACAAAAATAACACACCAGATAACATTGATTACACAAAATAACAGAAAATGCACGAATATAACACATGCTTGTATTACATAAACCAGCAACATGCTTGCCACCATTAATCTTTCTATCTCAGCCCACAGGCACACTCTCTCTCTCTCTCTCTCTCTCTACCTCTCTCTCTCTCTCTCTCTCTCTCTCTCTCCCCTTCTCTGCTCTCCTCCTTTGCTTTCCCTTCCATCCCTCATTATTCACCTAGTACTACTTCTCCCTCTCTTTCTTCCCTCTGTTTTTCTTTTCACTACTCTTCTTCTCCCTCTTTCTCCTCTCTATTTTCCTCTTTTTCATTTATCTTATTTGTACTGAAAGGTGAGTAAGGTGGTAATGCTCTCACCTCTTACCCACTGCAGTTTGTGTTCAAATTCGCTTTGGTTAAGTGGTATTTATTAGTCTACTCTTCATTATTTTATATACATGTCATATACGTAGTTACATTGTCTGTGTATGCTTCTGTGTGTGTTCATAGCTTGTACATATTCCGTGTACTAGGCCGTGTTACCACTTACCTTGCTAAAACGTGAGCCTGTCATACTGCACTGTGGTATTTTGCCCTTTTTGTGTCATTTCTACACCTCATGTGTGTGGTGCACCATGTAGTTGTACAGTTATATTGGTTTGTGCTCTGATAAGCTTTCATTGCCTGCTGTGGGGTCTGTGTTTGAACCTGTGTTTGAGCCATCTTAGAGATTGTAACTCTTCAGGGAGTGATTTGGGTGGGTAATGTGATGCAATTACCTGCTTGCTTGCTGTTTTGCTGATATTAATAATGCCATACATTTAACACATAATTGGTTGGTTTGGTTTAAAATATCGTCAATGGTAGTAGTGGTAGCTTAATGGTAATATTAATATTGTTATTATTATTGTTGTTGTTATTGTTGTTGTTGGTGGTATTGGTAATTCATTATAATTGTTGGTAGTATTGTGGTTGTTGGTGGTAGTGTGTTGTTGTTGTTGTTGTTGTGGTGTTGGCCTTCAACTCGTAACA